TCAATATGTAGCTTCACCTTATGATCTTTTAATTTTCCGACGCCATTGAATAATTCCTCAGGTATTGCAACATTGCAGGATACAGTTGTGTTCTTAGCAGTGTCCACAGCGTTAGTAATTGCAATCAAACCAAGATGCTTTGCAGTATTGTAGGATAACAAAGAACCTCCAAGGCGACCGTTGTTGCTAACGACAAAAAACTCGGCAGCATCAATTCGTTTCCGCGATTCTACAGTAGCAGTAAACTTTCCAAGGACACGGAGGGGTTTATCGGACTTGTAGGGGTAGATGTTGATAGAACTGTGTTGCAATGTTATTTCCGGTTTGAGGGCTTCAAAATCCTTTTCTTCGAGTAAATTAACTGTCGCTCCAGTGTCAATAATGAATTTAACTTTGGCTAGGTTTTGAATCCGTAAGTTAACCATTGGATGTTTGGTATTTTCGTCTGTATCTTGCACCATAAACGTATATTCATCCGACTCGGAGTGTTCACTGGTATTGTCACTTGCGATTTCTTCGTTTACATATTTAACCGTCTGACGTTTGTCACTTTCATGGTGGCGATGTTGTTGTTTTTGTGGAGATGAACGGCATGCGACGGCAAAGTGATTCAATTTCACGCAAAGTCGACACGTTTTCCCTTTTGCTGGACATACGCCAGGATGAGGATAGGGTTTGCTGCAAAAATAACATAGTTTCGTTGATTCTTGTCTTGGTCCTTGACGTTGTGAGTTGAAGTTCTTCGAAAAGTAATTTCGTGTTGCAGCAGTTTTCATCTGGTTGACTGATTCTGTGTTGTTATTTTCCATTTCCTGAGCTTGTTGGTGTGATAGTTCGTAGGCTCGGCCTTGATCTAAAAGTTGTTGGAGAGTCATTTCAGTACGAAGGGCTTTTCGTCGAAGCTGTTGGGACGTGCACGTTTGGACAATTTGTGTTTTAATTTCGCGATCCATGTCTGCAAATTCACACGTGGAAGCGAGGTGTCGAAGGCGAGTGTGGTAAGAATCGAGCTTTTCGTCATGGCGTTGGCTAGCTTGGCGAAATTTGTAGATTTCATACTCCGTATTCTTTTTAGGCTCGAAATAAGTTGTAAGTGATTTCACAGCGGTGTCAAAATCATCCTCAGAACCTTTCTGTTCGGCGGTAAATGTGTCAAAGATATCGTAAACTTGTGATCCAGCCAAGTGTATAAGTAAAGCACGTTTCCGTTTCTTTGCCGATATATCCATAGCGACCATAAGATTGTTAAACCGTTGCAACCATTTTTTCCAGCGAGTGGCAATAGAAGAACTCGAAGTGTCGTTCCCATAAACTATAAATGGTTCGAAATCGGGTATGGCTTTTGCCATATTTTATTATTATTTTTGTCCTCGTCGCCAAATGTAATATAGTACTCCTTCGATGCATAAACACATGTCACTTTTTTATCTTACAAGTGCGCATGCTCCTAAGGCATGATGTAACTATTACGTCATTACAGTAGTAATGTAATTTTATGCCAAAGTAAAGTTCTATTTTGCTAGGGCTTTTCAATGCAGTTATCGGTTTAAATATACCTAAAATTGCCGTTAAGATATGACAATTGCCGCACGGCCTACTTTTACGCGAACGCAAATTACAACTGCAACTTTCATGCTTAATTTCTTCTGTTATCTGGGCATGTAGTAATGTAATTTTATACCAATGTAAGGTACTAAGGTGCTATTTTGCTAGGGCTTTTTAGTACAGTTATCGGTTTAAATATACCTCGAATTCCCGTTAAGATATGACAATTGCCGTACGGCCTACTTTTACGCAAACGCAAATTGACAACTGCAACTTTCATGCTTAATTTTCTCTGTTATCTGGGCATGTAGTAATGTAATTTTATGCCAATGTAAGATGCTATTTTTCAAGGGCTTTTCAATGTAGTTATCGATTTAAATATACCTAAAATTCTCGTTAAGATATGACAATTGCCGTATGGGCTACTTTTACGCAAACGCAAATTGTAACTGCGAGATAAGAGTTCTAAAATTACAATTTTGCAATAATCATGGCATGAGGCGGAAATACGATTCTCTTTAAATTACCGAACAACTGTCTTTACAACAAAGTTGCCCGAGAACGATAGAACATTGAAGTGAAGTGAAGTGAAAGGCTTTATTTACTGAGGGTAACACGTGACAGTTAGAAACTGATAAACTTGTGGCCCTCAAAATTTACAAAATTTAAGATATTAGAAAATAGTCCCTATTTAAAGT